CTACCTCTGTGGGCCGCCGCTGGGCCTGAATGTCTCTGCCGGCTGCCGCCGGGCCTGAATATCTCTGTCGGCTGCCGCCGCTGGGCCCGTCTACCTCAGCGGGCTGCTGCTGGGCCCGTCTACCTCAGCGGGCTGCTGCTGGGCCCGTCTACCTCCGCGGGCCGCCGCTGCAGGCCTACCTGCGTCTGCTTGTCTCTGCCGCCGGGCCTGACTCTGTACTGTATTCTTTTATGTTGCATTGGTCAAATAAAGTGTTGAACAGCCAACCAGGAGAGAGAAATAGGTGGAGCTAGTATGCAGAGAATAAATAGGAGGAGAAATCTAGGCTCGAGAAAAGAGAAGACAACACCAGGGGCCAGCACCCAGCCACACCACCAGCCATGGAGTAAGAACAGAAAGGTATATAGAATAGAGAAAGGTGCCCAGAGGCAAAAGGTAGACAGGATAATTTAAGTCAAGAAAATCTGGCTAGAAACAAGCCAAGCTAAGGACAGGCATTCATAAGTAAGAATCTGGGAGCTATTTATTTATTTGGGAGCTAGGTGTATTTATTTGGGAGCTGGGTGGCGGCCCCCAAAGAGAAAAAACAACAACAACGAAACACCTACAATAATTAGATACTAAAAGGCAGGAAAATGAAAAGACTACATAAAAGCTAAAGCTAACAATTAGAATCAATTTTTGAACTCTCAAAATTGTAACAACAAAAACAACAACAACAAAAAAAAACTTTTTATGGAAACTGGCGTGGACTGCAAAGCCCCTCATCATTACTAGAGAAGGTATTAGAGAACCAGGAATATCATTCCTGGAGCTGGGCCTCTGAGCCCCCAAACTGCAGAGGCGTCTTGCCCCTGTAGGAAGTGTCCAGAAAGCAGCTACCTATACATGTGCCATGCCACACATGACTTCAGCTGTGCCCATGGATGATAGCAAATTTCAAGCTGTTTGGATGACAGTTCCTTTCACTGAAGCTGTAAGCCAGGTTGAAGCCCCTTTAAGAACTGAATGAATGTGGTACTCAGGTTCCAAGCCTTCCCTCCGGCAATAAGTGCCTGAGTCTAATACCAAGAAGGGATTGCAAGATCAGAGCAAAACTAATAAATGCTATACTACTACCCACACCACCAAATGACTGAATATACCCTGTCCTCACTGAGGCCTCCAGCCTAGCCCCTCTGCGAGGCACCCCTCACTCAGTTTCCTCAACGATCAAGTGGAGTTACTGCAGGAGGCCTGAGGATTCTCTCGGAAAGTTTTCATGCAGCACAGGGTATTCCTACTAGCATCAAGCATGTTGAGTTTTTCCATCTGTAAAGTAGGAATCAGATCTCAGAACCAACACCTAAGGGTTTGCTTGTCCTCCTTTCCAGATGCTAGACCCATGATGACTCTAGATCAGTGTGCAGCCAATGCAACCTATCCAAACTTCACTCTTTCCTCCACAGTATCTGCCAAGACAATCTACTGAGAACTCTCATCTTATTCAAGCTGCCCTCCCAAAGTGTGCTCAGACTGAGTACATAAAAAAGAGCCCTGAGTATATATCCATACTGACTTAGAAGACCCCACAGAAATTCACTACCATAAAAACAAAACAAGAAAGTCATTTTCACAGCACAGAAAAGGCTCCGGATGATTTCCAGCAAGTGTTCACATCAGGACCACACAGGAAGGCACTCAGGGCCTGCTCATACCAGGGGCTCTTTCGAGACAGGTTCCGGTCATCTGTTGTGTGATGTGAATATGCATGTCAAAGCCCATCTGATGACAGGTAAATATTATGGTGTTCCTACCTGAAGACCTGGTAGTGAGGTCTTCTGGGGAGTGAGGTGCTGTGGAGAAATGGCTTGGCAGTTGAGAGCACTGACTGCTCTTCTAGAGGACCTGGGTTCGATTCTCAGCACCTACATGGTAGCTCACAATCACCATGGAACTCCAGTTTTAGGGAATACAATACCCTCCTCTGGCCTCCACGGGCACCAAGCTCACAGTGGTGCAGACACATATGTAAGTAAAACATCCATACACATAAAATAATAATATATTTTTATTTTTATAAAAAAACAGAGAACATTAAGAAATATAAAATACTCTAAGGATATCCTGTTAGAAAACCAAATCAGCCACTATCATATACATTCTGGTAGAGAATCAAAGTCAGTACCTTACAATGCATTTATTGTGGTCACTCCTAGAATCATCTGGCCCTTTCTTACAGACCAGATAATTCGGTACTCCTTAGTCATTATATTAGGCTAATGAGAATTCTACAGAAAAATACAACCAAAGTAAACCAAGAACTCAAAACACAATTGGGGCCAGCAAAATGGTCCAGTAGGTAAGATTGCTTGCTACCTAGTCAAATGACCTGGGTTCAATCCCAGGACCAACAAGGTAGAAGGAGGAAACTAATTCCACAAACTGTTCCCTGACCTGTACATGTGCCACGCCACACACACACACACACACAGTCCTCTGACCTATACATGAGCCATGACACACACACACAAACTGTCCTCTGAGCTATACATGTGCCATCACACACACACACACACACACACACACACTTTATTTTAAAAACTAGTAATCCAGACAGAAGCCACCATGAAGTACTGTTTTCCTCTTCAGCCGTCCCTAAGCCCCTCTCTATATTAAGGCAGGCACTGGGCTGGGTTAGCACTGACGGAGTTTCTCAAGAGTAGGACACTATTCTATTTGATCCTTGCAACTGCCCTGAAAGGGGGTTGGGCTTGGGAAAGCTCAGTGGAGAGCATCTGCCTAGTCATATGAGGCTTTGAGGTCCAAAATAAATGGTTTCTCATTTTACATTTTAAAAAGTATTCGTGTGTCATGTGTGTGCATACATGTGTTTGCATGTATGCCATGGCACACACGTGGAGGTCAGAGGAAACTCAAAGGGGTGAGCTATTTCCTTCTACCTAGTGAGTTTCAAGGATGGAGCTGAGGTCATCCCTCAGCAAGGGAGCCTCTACCTGCTGAGCCATCCCGCCAGCCCTAGTCTCATTTTATAGCTGAGAGTCTAAGACTGTAGGGGCAGTTACCTGGCCCAAAGCGCCAGTCCAGAACAGAACAGAACAGAACAGAACAGAACAGAAGCAGCACTGAGCAGTACCCCGTGCCTATCCCGCCACCTTCCCCCGAGTCCAAGAAAGGCCCACTTCTCTTTTCAAAGAGAAATGGTTTGTTCATCTCTTCTTGACACTTTAGCCAAACTCCAACTTGAAACAGGTTGCAGGGTTGTTCCCAACCTTATATATACACATTATATATACTTGGTGGCACAGAAAACACTTTCTCCCTCCACCTGACAGTCTCTAGGGTACATTACTAATTCTCCTGAGTAGATCTAGGATCTGAAACAAGTTCACTGAACTGATCCAAAGTCCCAGAGCACCAGTCAGTGGCAAGGCCACAACTGGATGCTAATTCAGCTCCAATTGTGGAAGCAAATGAAACGGACCTCAGCTACCTGAAAGGCTGGCCACAGACCCACTGGCTTTCTTTGGACCAGGACCGATAACTCCTAATATATTCCTCAGCATATATGTCTGTATGTGTACGTCACTGTATTCCATAAATGTGTACAATTACTATGTCTCCATTAAAATAAAACTTTTATTAAAAGAGGTTATCTAACTCCTCAAATTAAAAAATAAACCAGCTAAGCTAAAAGAGGGAAAAAGGGTTGAAATTAAAATAGGAACACACTGATAACAAAGAGAAGTCACACCTTCACTGAAGCCTTAAAGGAAAAACTAAAAAGTAGTACTGTGTATAAATACCAATAGAAAATCACCCTACGGCACAAAGGCAATACTCCATGCTTACACTGTCCTGCTAGTAATAGGTTCAAACTGGACATGGTAGCAGGTGCCAGCACTCTGGGTAACTCAGAAGCCTGAGGCAGGAGGATCACTTAAATTTATGAGCTTAAAAACAACTTGGGCCGGGCGGTGGTGGCGCACGCCTTTAATCCCAGCACTCGGGAGGCAGAGCCAGGTGGATCGCTGTGAGTTCGAGGCCAGCCTGGGCTACCAAGTGAGCTCCAGGAAAGGCGCAAAACTACGCAGAGAAACCCTGTCTCGAAAAACCAAA